TATATTATTTTAATGATTATTATAAATAACAAGTTACATAAATTTTAATAAAACAATATTTTCTATTTAGTTATTCTATACCTTTATATAAAACTTGAATAACTTGGGACTCACACTGGGCGTAGGTAGGACGCGGGGCTAGAGGATAGTTGAACTACGCGGTAGGGTATTCGAAAAGGTGGTATGAATGTTTTCGAGTGAAGGAAATTCAATTGTAATGACCCGACGCAGTTGTTGTGCTGTATCCCCATGCACTAACTCGTGGTGCGTCTAAGAGTTGTCAATATTATTCGAAGCGGCGGACTGAAGATGTCCCGTTTGCGATATAGAAACTACCAGTACGGTCATGAGTAAAGGTGTCGTTCTAGAATTTACGTAAATGGGCAAATTGTGGTTTAATTCATGACCAGTATAGAAGCCACCAATACCATCACGAGGAACCGTGTTTGTTCTATATTTACGTGTAAAACAGTCGACTATTTATTACCTAGGGTTCCGAGGGTTTTTAAACCAAAATTAAGCCGCACTCGTGAAGGACCATATGGTAGCAGAGGCGGACTACAGCTACTCACTCGACCATTCGAGGGTAAAAATGAACCGTGTCCTCGCCTCGAGGTAGACTGGAAGGTAGCAGAGGTGGACTCTAACTACTCAGTCTACCCTAGGGGTGATAATTAAGAGAGAGTTCTCGGGGCCTCTGGGCCTTTTTATAGGGAGTAGCGGATCTCAGTCACGCGCTGGCTCTAAAACGACGCAGGAAAACTTACCAGGGGAAATCTTGGAGAAAAGACAATAGCCTAAAAATCTAATTGGTTAGAGCTGCTCTAGTTCAGCCACTCAAAAATTGGCACTTCCCACATGCGGCTTGCTTTCCTACATGCGTCAAGAAAGGGAAAGTGATTCACTTACTCATGCCCTTCCTTTCTTCTTTACATCAAAATGTAACAGATTCTGATCTTGGCTTAATATCAACATGAAAAATATTATTATTAATTTTTACTAATGCTAAACACTGTTTATTTATTCAATCAAAGTTGTTGTAAAAAGAGCGGTGAAAATCGCTTAATATTTGGTTTAAGTTTTGATTGAATAATCGTTCGGTGCGTTGTGGTATTAACAGTAGTTTTAATAATAGTAGCTTGTAGACAGTCATAATTATAATATTTGCTAGATTTTCCGTATCCCTTAATTAGACATATTGATAATTATGGAAGATCAATTACCAACAGCGGTGTTTGTGGTCAAAACACATGTATCTATAGTAATAGTAGTGGGGTGCTTGTCGCAAGCTATCGATCATTAACTTACTTAGATTCACAGATAGTTTCAATTCATTAATAGCTGCCAAATTACTTCAAAATGTAAGTAGTACTTGGTTAATTCATTTTTCACTGCTAGTCGTTGGAGAGGAAGTCAGCTCGTGGTACCCTGGGGAATCAGAAATTCTATTGCCCGTGTTGGAGGCTGGAGTGCAGACTCTTTCTCGATATCTCTGAGTCAGGAAAAGGGGGAAAGGGCAATGACTTTCCTGTTTTCCTTTACATTTGAAAAAGTGACAGAATTTAACCAGATTATACATTAGGCTATTGAAAATTATTTGTGAAATTGTGAATGTAATAAAAAAGGGTTACTCGGTAAATCATGCGCCTGTGAACATAAACAGTAAAAATCAGGTGTAGCATGTATGGGTTGTTTCTAACTGTATATAACAATTCTAGGACTTAATGGTATTTTGCTCGATCTTAATCCATATGTATTAACTCTAAGTTATTCTAGTATTTAGCATTATGTCCTTTAATCCTAATCTATATATATTAAAGTAATTCTAGCATTCAATATTTCATCTCAGTGCAGCTGTTCCCAGTTAAACTTTTGCGTTTATTGATTTTTTCTGAAAATGTTTTTGGTTATTTGTGTATGGAATAATATTATTTTCCTATTTCCAGTCAGCATAGGCCAGAGTACATAATATATGCATTAATCATAGTTGGTCATTGCTGTGAGCAAACTCGCAGGTGATTCATTTCTTTTCGGATGCACGTTGGTCCCTGATTTTTTTTTGTATGATGGAGCAAGGAGGGGAAAATCTTCATAGACACCCCGGCTATTCCGGTGACAGTGTCGGATTTACCCAGTGTGCCTACCAACTAAAAACTAACCTCCCAGGACCGAACAGGTCCGTTAGGACCACTTTCCTAGAAGACAGAAGGGGCATAAGAGAAGAGAGAAGAAGGATGAAAGAAAATAACGGAGAATTTTGGAGGCCAGTTCACTCTCAAAGGGATAAGAGGAGAGGCACTTACGTATCTGGGCGAAGATCGAATATTGGCAATTACCAGATTAGAATTGTAGGAGCTTAAATTTAGGTGTTATTGTATGTATGTGTGTAATGTGTGAGTCTGCTGTGTATTGTGTGTTTGGAAGCGTACTTATGATTAGTGTAAAAATTGTGTAGGAGTCCGTGATTTACATACTTTCAAATGAACATGAAAAATTCCGAAGGAATGAGCTGGAAAAAAAATTATTAGTATTTGTAATTTACCGAAATTACATCTTTTAAAAATATTTTTCACTGTTTTAATGATTGCCTATGGTTTATCTTAAAATTAATTTTTCTTCTTGATTGTGTTTCTAAATTAAAAAAAAAAATAACATTCATTTTACTAATAAATTTAATGAAAAGGCACTCTTTTAAAAAGTTTTCATAACAATTGTTCTTTAATATACTTACTTTCTTATGTTTATTAACTTCATGTCTTTTTAATGATTCATGTCGCAACAAATTACGTCTACATTGTGAACACATTTATTAATTTTCAAGATTGTGTATAAATATGTGACGATGTAAATGTATTTTTGTCTTAAACGTTTAAAGACATCAATAACATTCATAGAAATTGTCATTAATAGATTCTTTCGTATGACGTACATGATGTTTCCTTGCTTCGATTACTCCACCACACACTTTACACTAATAAAATTTGTTTTCTTGTTTTCTTTCAGGAATCTTCAACTTAGCAATATTATCAAATGACAACACTTCATCTTGATGATATTCAGTTGAATGATTATCAAAAAAATGTTTTCTAAATTTTTTGTGAGCAACTTAATAGAATTTTTTTTTTCGACTTATACAAACTTACACAAAACATTAACTTATTACTTTATTTCTCAAGATAAAAAAATTTCATCAATAGCTTGGACTGGCACCGCATCGGTATCCAGTATAGAATCCGAAAAAAAAATTACAAGAAGTTGGTTTAATAATTTTAAATGAGGCATCAATGATTCTAATAAAAGTCTTAAAAATAGTAGAGAGGTCTTTACGTGATTTATGTAATACAAATACACATATTGGAAACAAATTAATTGTTTCAGAAAAAGATTTTCGTCAAATTCTTTCATAATAATGTCAATAATGGATACGTGTTATTTTTTTTTACAAAAGCATCCGTAGTATCAAAAGTACTATATACAAGTATATAGTACTATTTACATTTATATCGAAAGTATAATATACAAGTACCGTTGTATCCAAGTATCCAAAAAATTTAATATAAAATGTTGAAACGTTTTCAGGAGCTTCGTTGTCGTGAGCTTCTTCCAGCGTACTAGTGGCTGTTAGCCGGCAAAAGCAGGAATCAGCATATCTGAAGGGATTTTTTTATTTTAGGGGACTTACAACACAACAGGGGTCAGTAAATAATATTTGTATGTTTTTTAACTTAGTTTTCGTTCAGATACGAGCATAGTTTTAGCCCAGACTCGGAAAAAATAGCATAGTTTTCGTCCGAACTAGAGTAAAGGGCATAGTCTTCGTCCGGGCTTGAAAAAAAGGGCAGTTTTCGCCTGAGACCGAAAAAAGGGAATAGTTTTCGTCTGGACTAGAAAAAAGGGCATAATCTTTGCCCGGGACGTTGAAAGGGCATAGTTTTTGTCCAGGGCCAATTTGGGCTTCGTCCGGAGCGTCGATACTTTCCTGTTTTTACAGCTTCGCTATTATGTTCACCAAACGCAGACCTCGGAAAGGATCGGTGATTCCTGATTAAATGGAAGGATCTTTGGTGGCTGGGGTTCCTAACTTCGCAACAAACAGCTCCGCTCGAGACGTCTGCTAGTGACTTAGTTTGAATGTAGCCGACTTTATATAGTCTGTTGATAGATAAATAGTTGTCAGAATTGGCTTTCAAATATGGGTAATGATATTTCCCAAAAGTTGTTGCAAAAAATTTATTTGTCAGAGTCGAGATGGTAATGGAGGGTTGTCGGTAACCAGAGTACCCCACTGCTCGATGAACTATTTTGTTCTTAAATTCTGTCAGTGATCGACTATAGTAATAGATATTTTGCTCAAAACTATTATCACCAGACTTATTGACTTCGATTGCAGGTGCAAGATGCCACCTAGCAGATCCTACTAAACTAAAGCGCAAAGCAAGCTAGAAAAAACTATGCAAAAACTATTTGGGAAGTGCGTTTTTACGGTTAGAGATTACAATGTCTTTTGGGACTTAGCTTTATATATTAGTAAAATACATTCAAATAAAAATGTTTTGTCCATTTTTATCAAAGCACTATATGAAGAAAAATTTGAATAACTAAGAATAATTATGAATATAAAATGAAAGATTGATTAAAGCCTACTATCGAAATGTAAGAACGCATATTTTAATACAGGCATCTTATCTACCGTACGATGAGTATGATACAAAATTTACATGTGCATGGAGGAGTTACTTTTTATGCATTTTTTGTGAGAATACATGGGTGTACTTTGGCTATTTTTACAACCAATTTAATCTTTTTAAATTTTTTTGAGCATACCTGTTAAGTAATAACAAAAACATACACAAACATATATAATTTTCAAGTTTCCAGTAATCATAAAAAATGGGTTCTTGTAGAATAAAAGGTGTTGCATGCATATTTAAAATTTTGTCAGACAATTTTTAATTACAAAAGAAAAAAAAATTTTAAAAACAAAATAAAATGCATTTCCTTAAAATACATGTTTTGTACAAATACATCATAAAAATCACGATGATTTTTTTTTATGTCGAAGAATTAATCAACATCTTGTTTTAAAGGCTCACACCCGTGATGTTGTGTAGTCTGCTGGAAATCCAAATTCATGATGTCCAATTCCATTGGTACTGGGTAATAGTCCTGCATTTGGTATTACGTTCCATGATAAATGTAAAGAAATGTTTTTATTCCCCCTGTCGGAAAAACAAAAATAAACGTTACAAATTAATCTTGAAACTTAATTTCAACATGTTGTTTTGTTTGCACGAGCATCAAACTATAAATAGTTTCGTTAGACCATACAAGTAGAAGGTTTCAGCTAAGAAGATATTAAATTAAATAAGATTTTAAAAAATTTTATTAGAACTAACGTACAAAAATCAAACGACAATTGTGTTAAATATCTTTTGTATACTGTCTTAGGACATGAAAACACTAAAATCACCAAATTGTCTAACAAGGCTATATTTATGATTGATGATTATAAGTCTGATGTCAGATGCGTGAAATACAAAATGATGGATCCAAATGGCCAGAAATGTAAAGAATTAAATGTAATAATGAATTGTTTCTACAGGTTTTTCGGGTGCTATTATGGAATTCGATTCCAAAGTTATAAAAATAATAAAATTGGTTTCCGCCTCATTAGGATGCAAATTGGAATTGGTTCCCGGATATTTGACAGGCATAGTGAAAGTAATTGTTCCTGATACATTGAATCATATAGACAAATAATGAAATTCTTGCAAAAACAAGTGAACAAGGATCTCATAATCATAATCATCAATATCATCATGGTTAAATATCTCATCATATTCTATACTGGGCTCACGACGCTGTCAACAAGTGTTTACTCTTATTATTTTCAATGTAAGTTTCTTGTCATTCTGCTTGTCTTATATAACTTTGTATTTTACTGTAATGTATAGAAGTACTGGTTTCGTTTCAGCACAAAAAGAAGCAGCTGTAGTATTTTATAAATGTATGTGTAATCATTTTATTGTATAAAGTGGACGTACATTTGAGTAAAAGAGGAAAAGCGGTTTTGGGTGTACATGGATTACAACTTTGTATCTAAAAAAATTTGAAAAACGGCCTATAACGTTGAACGTGCACATTTAGATCATGTAAGTGCTGCATAAAAGTTAATAAAGCCAATAAAATTGTTAAAACATCCAGTAAATAACACAAACACAAACACAAATCGACGAAGCCGATGAAAATTGGTGAAAGCTATTGTTAAAAACCGGATCTTTATCTTGTTTTCAATTTGTACTAATAGTCTCAAAAAGTTTTTACCCGTTTACATTGTTCATAATTCGATAATTTCACATTGGCGTTCGTGGCCATCGAAATTTTTTGAACACACTAGCGTCAAAACGACTGTCAGTCCAAAGGTCGAACGAAGTGTGACGGAAAAAATATTGAACATATTAGTATGAAAGACACTTCATTACTTATTTATACGTATTGTATCTCTTAATTGCTTTTCAATGGCCAAAAACCAGTCCCGCTATGTATCCTAATTAACCAGAAACCGATTTTACAATGTTTATATCTAGAAAAATGTGCTGGAAACCCATTCAGGATCACCTTTTTTAAGGTCACAATTTTTTTTAATTTTGCTCTGTGTCATAATATAAATAATTATTGATTGAACAAAATTTATATTACAAGTAAAAGTGTTCAAATGGATTGTTATATTAGATTGGTAGAATGCCTGTCTAAGTTGTCCATCATAAAAATTACAATACATCATGAATACACACGCGCATATTTATATAATGTTCTCGCAAGTCCGTATGTGTTTGTACAATGTCTGTTTTTAAGTGTAAGTGTGCAATTACACTGTATAATGTGTACTGTTGATCGTAAAAGCTCTTGTCTATTATAGTTAGGTTTTGCTAATAGGTGTCCGTAGTTAATCGAGGTCCATAAAAACATCTTTTTCAGTTCCATGCATTTTGACCCCCTAAATGTTGTAAACGAAGGTGCTTGACTAAATTTGTTGTAAATTATTGCTAGTAACAATCATTATGGCTGAGGAAACACCAATGAACAACTGTTATGCACAATTAGAAAAAAATTTAATTTTAGCTCAATAAAACTTTTTATATGCATGGCATATTTTAAATGAAAACCTATTTGGGATGTACACAACTTAACCCCTTAGTTTTTGAGTAAAAAGCTCTAACTATAAATGTGTACTTTAAGATGAAAAAGGACTTATAACAATGTACACTATAATGTTAGAGAACAATATTATTCATTCATTGAGTAAAAAGATGCCCTATCTCAAAAATGTACCTGGGAAACCTGCTACCTTAAAGGTGTATCTTAAGTACGTGTTGAAGTGTAAAACATTCTATTTCAAAATAATGTAACAGAACGTCCTATCTCAAATGTGTATTTTAAAAATATCCTATCTAAAAATCATATTGACAAACGTCCTATCTCAAAAAAGTATTAAAAAGTGGCCTATCTCAAAATAGTATTTAAAATATCCTACCTCGAAAAAATAGGAAAGAACAACTCACCTTAAAATAATGCTAGTGAAAATTTTATCTCAAAATGAAATAAAAATTCATCCTAAAGTAAAATAATTAGACAAAAGACAACTACAAAAGAAAAGGAAGATGGAAGTAAAAACAGTTCAAGTGCATTTTAAACTGAAAGAAAAAAAGATGGAGCATGTTTCAAGTGCGGAAAATATGAACACTTCAAGGCACAATGTACGAGAACGAGACAAAGGTGGTGAACAGCAGCAACAAGACGGGCAACAATAACAACAGTAGTGGCAACATTGCGGCAGCTGAGGCCGAGGTCGTGGAGCTGGAAAAGGCTCTAGTCAACATCGTCAAGGAGGCGGTTGGCAGCAAAATAATCAAGTACATCAAAATGAAGACGGTAATGTGAGTAGTTTTAATGCGGAATTCGAGGAAAGAATTAATGAGTAGCGTGTTAAAGTAACCAGCTGCGCTAGTAAGGTTAAGTGGTTACTCGATAGCGGTAGCTCAGATCATAATGCAAATGATGATCGATATTTTTATGAAACTGTTGAATTAAAAAAGCCTCTAAATGTAAAAGTAGGTGATGGTCGTTCTTTAGAAGCAACAATAGTTGGTAATATGAGGCACAAGTTTATTGTTTATGGTCGAAATAAAATAAATATTTAATGAAAAATGTAATATGGTGCGATATGCATAGCTAAACTTTGAAATTTTATTAAAAAATCGAAATACATTGAAATTCATTATCACTTTGTAAACGAAAGCATTGCGAAACACGAAATTGATATTGTAAAAGTTGATTCAGAAAAAAATATAGCAGATATTTTTACCAAAGCTTTAGGCAGAAAAAGTGCGAAAGATTTAGAAATTTGTTGAATGTAAAGTAGTATAAGATACTAAAATTAAGATTGTAGTATCGATTTGAGGAGGCGTGTTGAAATATAAGTAATTTTATATTAGATGCGTAAGTAGTAACATCTGTTACGTGGCATGAGCACTGTGAGTGCTGGATGATGGGTGTGTGTANTTTGGATCCATCATTTTGTATTTCACGCATCTGACATCAGACTTATAATCATCAATCATAAATATAGCCTTGTTAGACAATTTGGTGATTTTAGTGTTTTCATGTCCTAAGACAGTATACAAAAGATATTTAACACAATTGTCGTTTGATTTTTGTACGTTAGTTCTAATAAAATTTTTTAAAATCTTATTTAATTTAATATCTTCTTAGCTGAAACCTTCTACTTGTATGGTCTAACGAAACTATTTATAGTTTGATGCTCGTGCAAACAAAACAACATGTTGAAATTAAGTTTCAAGATTAATTTGTAACGTTTATTTTTGTTTTTCCGACAGGGGGAATAAAAACATTTCTTTACATTTATCATGGAACGTAATACCAAATGCAGGACTATTACCCAGTACCAATGGAATTGGACATCATGAATTTGGATTTCCAGCAGACTACACAACATCACGGGTGTGAGCCTTTAAAACAAGATGTTGATTAATTCTTCGACATAAAAAAAAATCATCGTGATTTTTATGATGTATTTGTACAAAACATGTATTTTAAGGAAATGTTACAATTAACTATTAGTATTAATAAATTATACAATAAAATTTCACTTCGGCGCTAAATTAAACCTTACAATTGACCGCTCAAACGGGTCGCGTCAGGCAACGCGCTAGATGTTATTATTGCGAATACAAATATGTAAAATTCGCAAGCGCTTATAAAGCTTAAATTGTCTATGTATTAGAATGTGAATATACGTTGTGATAGTTAATACAAATGCTGTCCCTATCTATAAGTCAATAAGTGTGGCTACTAAGATATCGAAATACTAAACGCGAGAACTACAAGCATAAGTCAATAATTTTAAATTATTATCAATGAACAGTTTATAACAATTTTTTAAATTATTAGTATCGAACATTCTATTAACATTATTATTATTAATCTGTATGTGTAACATTTCTGAGAATAATCTTTTGAATCTATTATTCTCAACGTCCAAAATTTTAACATTATCAAAATCAAAGGATTGCGATGTTTCTTTCATATATTCTACCAGTGCCGATTTGTCTCTTAGGTATTTGCAATCACTTCTATGTCCATTAACT